GGGTTGATGTATTGGGCTGACTTGATTGAGTAATAACGGATTTGATAATCTTTCGAAAATTCATCGATTGATCCTAATGATCGTTCGCACTTTTCGTTTTGAGAAACTGAGAGTTGATGTATTGGGGTAACTTGATATGCTGATTACGAATTCGATAACCACTCGAAGGTTTGTCAATTTCTTCCATCAATTCAACGTTTTTTTCGCTTTAGACTACTGGAAATTGGTGAACAATAGTTTGTTAACAGGTTGTTAACGAGTATGATAGTATATTAATTTAAAACAAAGAACTAAGTTTCAACATTGAAGAGGAGTCTCTTATGGGATCCCATAAAGGGAAAAAGTGATTAACACCATAATTTTGGACAAGACCTCACAGATTATGTCAAGAAAACAGATCACCTCCCAACTTCTAGCTCCATAAGGGCGCTGTTTTGTTGATAAAGACGATGGCACGGTGATTGATATAGGGTGTGGAGTACCTTCCCAAGAATATGTAATCACTGCAAAGGAACATCCTTCTCCTGTACTTGCCATTCCTAAACTCTCCTAATTTGGGAGAAACTGACTCAAATAAGAGCGTTTCCTTTTAATACGTTAATCTACGAACGCCCTTGATTCACCAACTTACCACAATAGATTTTTCTTATGAAATTGCCACGCTCATCAGTTCCTGGGTGAATATATCTGTTGCACTGGACCTAGAATTGTTTGTAAATTTTTCTTGAGATAAATAATTAGGAGAAAAATATTGCCCAGCATTAGTAAGCCAAGTCGTCCAACCCACCTTATAAGTGTAAGCATCTGGTGTTCCGGTGGTCAACTTCCGCGTTGAATGGCAAAAATTGTAGAACCTATATGCAGCAGGTAATCAAGAATCATTTCATTAATATTCTATTCTAAAAGACAAAAACAAGCATTTAGCTAACATAAAGAATACTTAGTAGTCCCTTGAGGTGATCCCCAAGAACCAAGCCCATCTCGAGTCACTTCATGGCGGTCCTCCAAGCCCGACATTGATATTACAAACGTGCCTACTTCGGTGAACTCTTGTGGTACAGTCACACAAATTAGCGAGCTTTGCACCTCAAAAAAAATTGCGCTACATCGATTCTCAGTAAGAATCAGCAGAAAAACTGACCAGCGCCGCTTCGCTCACTATAATATGAGCAGCGGTAGCAAACGACTCCGCCTGTTGACTATATAAGGGCCAGTCCAAGTGCATTCCATCAACATCGTTTGATACAAAAACGCGAGCAGGAGCCGCTTCAACGAATGGATTACTTCCGCTTGCTGAAGTTCAGAAAGCATACCGAATGTAAATTATAAGTCATAGCATATTCCTCATAGATGTTCACATTCTCAGCTACTATCTCTCTCTCTCTCTCTCTCTCTCCTCTCTCTCTCTATCTCTCTCTTTCTCTCTATCTCTCTCTCTCTCTCTCTCTCTCTCTCTATCTCTCTCTCTCAGATTCAAGCAACATGAATTGGTAGCTACGACTTCATAATATAAATCCCATAAAAGGCAAACATACTTTCGGCATCAGTTTTGTTGGAGTAATCAAGCAGTTGTTTAAATGATTTGACGCGAGATTCGCGATACGGCTGCCGACGAAGAATCGTGCCAGGCGATGCTCTTTAAAAAATCAGAAATTACACTCTTTAAAGGAGAATGTCATTAGGATTGCAGCTCATAAAAAACGAAAAAAGATGTGCACTAACTGCGCAATCCGACCACCTCGTTTGATGACACGGGGTGGCGAGTTTTTCGAATTACTTGCAAAAGCCGTATCATCAATTACAAAGTTGCCATCTTCTCCGACGATTTCGTAGTGACCCATCTCTTCTGAATCAATTTCAAACAAGTTGTAGTGTCGAAATATTACATATATGCTTATTTATTTGCTCATTTTATAGCTGAAATAATTAAAACATATTGCTTGAAAAGACTCAGTAAAAACCACAACTCTGCTAGCTCTCCTGATCAAAACAAGGGAATGCGATGCACGATAGAAAAGAATAGAAGTGTTTCGCATTTGAAAATGTCAATAGATCCAAGAAATATACTGCAAACATGTGCACCACGCAAACCACTAACTGTCATCCAGAGGTGCTGCGCTTTTAAATAAGTTTACTTAGGCAAATGTATTTTCAATTGTGGATTGGCTTATAAGAACCCTGCTTTGTCCTCCTGCCTCGATAAAAATTCCGTTGCAAAATCTAACTGTACATGTATCACGCATTCAAATTCATCTAATAGCGTAGAGACATGCGTATTGGGAGGATTTAGAAAAATTTATAAAAGCTACTCAAAGTGATCCGAGCGCCGCACTTTCTGCACTATCAACGATTTTTTTTTGGCTTACCTTGTTCATGAGAGTACGATTTGATCGTTTGCAAAAAAGAGCTTTTTGATGTAAAATAGGTAAAAGTTATGAATATTAAGGGTATCTCCACGATTCATGGCCGATCATGCGTACCCTAAGCAGCCAGTTCACTGATACAAAGACAATAGAACTTTCACATCTTCTGATTGCAGGATAAGGTTGAAAAGAAAATGATTTTCTAACATTCGACTAGAAGTGAATTCTGTGGTTTTGCTTTCATAATTTTCTAACATTAAATCATATAATTTGAAGCCCTCTTCAACAAGACGATGTATTGTTATGATCAAAAAACTTAAAAATTCGTTAACCCAAAGCGCGACACACAAAGCATGCATCGCCTTGCCGTTTGTTGGGCAACAAAGCAAGTAGGTTTAACTATGGTCAATGTAAAAATTAATTACAAAATGACATCTACAGGAACCATTTTTGCTTGAGTACAGCGAAGAAGAAGTAATGTTCGATTTTAAAGGTAACGTACCAACTTGCAAAGCATCATAGACTATTTTCTCCTCGCAATTCGATAGCCCGGGTTCCGCCTTGCCAAGAACATCTCTTGTAGCCGTCGAAGAGTTGTACGAACTCATGTCCTGAAGATACCATTGACCACTGAGGACCTCTTAAAAACCTTTTCAATTCTCATTACGAGTAGAGTGGAGAATACTCGTGTTTAGTTGAAATATTCGATTACCAAGTAATTCAAATATTCGATACTCGTGTATTCATTTTAAAAAAACGCATTTATTCAATTCCTCGAACAGTCGAATGTTCAAAAAGATGCATTGTTTATTTGATTAGTTGAGTATTTCAACATCGACACTCGAATTTTCGAGATGACTGCGAAATCAGCGAATATGATTGAAATCGAATTAAATAAAATATACGAATAACTCGATGATTGGCTAACTCAAATACTTAATATGTCCAATTATTCGTTGATTCGGACAGCAAATATTTGGGATCCCCACATTCGATATTCGGATTCCAATAAATTTAACGGCGAATCCGATATTATTCACGCGTTCGAATATTTCTTTTACGAACGAATACTCAACTACAATCAAAAACGTTTTCAACTGTCTCAACTAAAATTATAAGAGCAGATCGAATTGCGAGGGGATTACAGAGATTCAAACAGCTCTCGTCTTCAGATCAGAAGTGTAATCGCCAAAAAATGTAATCTATGACAAGTTATATACCTTCCAAAAAAA